TCTATAGTCTAGTATATAGTCTAGTCTATAGTCTAGTATATAGTGAAGTATATAGTCTAGTCTATAGTCTAGTATATAGTCTAGTCTATAGTCTAGTATATAGTGAAGTATATAGTCTAGTCTATAGTCTAGTATATAGTCTAGTCTATAGTCTAGTCTAGAGTCTAGTCTATAGTCTAGTCTATAGTCTAGTCTATAGTCTAGTCTATAGTCTAGTCTATAGTTTAGTCTATAGTCTAGTATATAGTCTAGTCTATAGTCTAGTCTATAGTCTAGTCTGTAGTCTAGTCTATAGTCTAGTCTATAGTCTAGTCTATAGTCTAGTCTATAGTCTAGCCTATAGTCTAGTCCATAGCCTGTCTATTCTATAGTCTGGTCTATAGTCTAGTCTATAGTCTGGTCTATAGTCTAGTCTATAGTCGAGTCTGTAGTCTAGTCTATAGTCTAGTCTATAGTATAGTCTATAGTCTAGTCTATAGTCTAGTCTATAGTCTAGTCTATAGTCTAGTCTATAGTCTAGTCTATAGTCTAGTCTATAGTCTAGTCTATAGTCTAGTCTATAGTCTAGTCTATAGTCTAGTCTATAGTCTAGTCTATAGTCTAGTCTATAGTCTAGTCTATAGTCTAGTCTATAGTCTAGTCTATAGTCTAGTCTACAGTCTAGTTTATAGTCTAGTCTACAATCTAGTCTATAGTATAGTCTGGTCTAGACTATAGACTAGACTATAGTCTGGTCTATAGTCGAGTCTATAGTCTAGTCTATAGTCTAGTCTATAGTCTAGTCTATAGTCTAGTCTATAGTCTAGTCTATAGTCTAGTCTATAGTCTAGTCTATAGTCTAGTCTATAGTCTAGTCTATAGTCTAGTCTATAGTCTAGTCTATAGTCTAGTCTATAGTCTATTCTATAGTCTAGTCTATAGTCTAGTCTATAGTCTAGTCTATAGTCTACAGTCTAGTCTATAGTCTACAGTCTAGTCTATGGTCTACAGTCTACAGTCTAGTCTATATTCTAGTCTATAGTCTAGTCTATAGTCTAGTCCATAGTCTAGTCTATAGTCTAGTCTATAGTCTAGTCTATAGTCTAGTCTATAGTCTAGTCTATAGTCTAGTCTATAGTCTAGTCTATAGTCTAGTCTATGGTCTAGTCTATAGTCTAGTCTATAGTCTAGTCTATGGTCTAGTCTATAGTCTAGTCTATAGTCTAGTCTATAGTTTAGTCTATAGTCTAGACATTACCTAGTCTACAGTCTAGTTTATAATCTAGTATACAGTCTAGTCTATAATCTACTCTATAATTTAGTCTAGTATGAATTCTTTTGTCTAGTCTGTAGTCTATACTATAGTCTAGTCCGTAGTCTAGACAAGAGTAGACAATAGATTAAAAGAGACTAAAGAGCTGCAATTTTTGCAATAATAAACAAATTTTTCCTAGCTGAATTGAAAGCTCTGACTAGAAAAAGCAATTTAACTAACTCAGCAATTAAACTGAAATAATAAATTTTCAATTTAACTACTTAGTAGTCCCAGATCCACTTGTCTTTTTTCTTTTTTACTTTTAACCACATTGTAATATAATATACAACCTCCTTATAAGGTAATAAGACATTTCCTTTTTTGTACCAACAAATATAAAATTGTATTTGCTTAATCCCCGGAAAGAAAAAAACTATAAATTTTAAAACAAGAGTATTTGTTCTAATAAAAATTACTAAAAAAATCGAATGGAGTAGCACGTTCTTTTACCATTACCTCCCATCTTCCTAACACCCTAACATGTTTACATTGTTGCTTTTGCTGTATACATATACATAATCAAAATTAGATGAAACAAGTAAAAAATATGTATGTACCAAGCCTGGCGCCAAATAGTCTTGGAATTCATTCATGACTAAGTTCTATATATTTTTGTATAGACATTTACGGAAAAACTGTGTCTGTATAACAATTTTATGTTGCCTATGGTTAGGTATTCTAACATATTTTACTATAAATAACTTTACTGCTAAATATAGCCAGTTTTGTTTTTGCCATTTTAGCGTAAATATATGTAACCAAACTACCCTTAACATAAGTAGCAATTGATTTTGGAAAACTAGACAAAAAGTTAAAAAAAGTACGCAATAATGTTGTGTATGCTGGTAGCCCTAAAGTAGGCAATCTATTTTTGAGCAACAATAAAGGCTGTTTTAAGGATACAATTTTAATAAATGAGTAATTTTTAAAGATCAATTGAAATACAACTTCATATAACTAGATATGAGCTAGAGCTGGATTAAAGTTTATAAATTTAGACATTTAAGGTCTACCGGAAAGGTTATGAAGATGCAAAAAATTTAAATTATATTTAAAGATGCGCTACACCTAAAAATTGGCTTTTTTCTCGCCAATGTTCTAAATAATGACAGTTCTAGTTCATGCTGTTATCGATTTTTTCTGTAAACATTTCAATACGGTAATTGGCTTGTTTTTTTCTTTTTTGCTCTCTTTTACTGTTAACTATGTATCAGGCATGGAAAATTGATAACTTGAACTTTATATGATGAAAAGTACTAAATTTTCAATCCTAGACTATATACTAGACTGTACACTAGACTATAGACTACACTATAGACTATACTATAGACTAGACTATATTCTAGACTATCGAATAGACTATGGACTAGACTGTAGACCACACTATAGACTAGACTACAGACTCGACTATAGACTAGACTATAGACTAGACTATAGACTAGACTATAGACTAGACTATAGACTAGACTATATACTAGACTATAGACTAGACTATAGACTAGACTATAGACTAGACTATAGACTAGACTATAGACTAGACTATAGACTAGACTATAGACTAGACTAGACTATAGACTAGACTATAGACTAGACTATAGACTAGACTATAGACTAGACTATAGACTAGACTATAGACTAGACTATAGACTAGACTATAGACTAGACTATAGACTAGACTATAGACTAGACTATAGACTAGACTAGACTATAGACTAGACTATAGACTAGACTATAGACTAGACTATAGACTAGACTATAGACTAGACTATAGACTAGACTATAGACTAGACTATAGACTAGACTATAGACTAGACTATAGACTAGACTATAGACTAGACTATAGACTAGACTATAGACTAGACTATAGACTAGACTATAGACTAGACTATAGACTAGACTATAGACTAGACTATAGACTAGACTATAGACTAGACTATAGACTAGAATATAGACTAGAATATAGACTAGACTATAGACCTACACTATAAACCTACACTATAGACCTAAACTATAGACCTACACTATAGACTTACACTATAGACCTACACTATAAACCTACACTATAGGCTACTAGAATATAGACTAGGCTATAGACTAGACTATAGACTAGAATATAGACTAGGCTATAGACTAGACTATAGACTACACTAGACTATATTCTAGACTACACTAGACTATATTCCAGACTATCGAATAGACTATGGACTAGACTATAGACTGCACTGTAGACCACACTATAGACTAGACTATATAATAGACTATAGACTAGACTATAGACTAGAATATAGACTAGACTATAGATTAGACTATAGACCAGACTATAGACTAGACTGTAGAATACACTATAGAATAGACTATAGACTAGACTACACACTAGACTATAGACTACGCTATAGACTACACTATAGTCTAGACTATAAACTAGACTATAGACTAGACTATAGACTACACTATAGTCTAGACTATAAACTAGACTATAGACTAGACTATAGACTAGGCTATATACTAGACTATATACTAGACTATATACTAGACTATAGACTAGAATATAGACTAGACTATAGACTGGATTATAGACTAGACTATAGACTAGACTATAGACTAGACTATAGACTAGACTATAAACTAGACTATAAACTAGACTATAAACTAGACTATAGACTGGACTATACACTAGACTATAGACTAGTCTATATACCAGACTATAGACTAGACTATAAACTAGTCTATAGACTAGATAATTCACTAGACTGTAGACTAGACTAAACTTTAAACTAGACTATTGGCTAGACTATAGACTAGACTATAGACTAGACTATAGGCTAGGCTATAGGCTAGACTATAGACTAGACTATAGACTAGTCTATAGTCAAAATGGTAATAGCTAACATTTAAAATTATAGAAAAGACTATAGACTAGACAAGACTATGAACTAGTTTATAGACAAGACTATTATTGTTTAGACTATAGACAGGACTATAGGTTATATTAAAGACAAGACTAAAGATTATATCGAATACTAGACTACAGACTATACTACATAGACTTGACCAGACTATATACTGGACTATAGTCTAGACTATTTACTAGACTAGATTATAGACAAAACTACATACTAGATTAATGATTAGACTATAAACGGGACTAGAGACAATAGACTAGGTTATAGACTAGATTAAAGACTAGACTCTAGACTAGATTAAAGACTACACTATAGACTATTGATTACTAAACTATAAACTAGACTAAAATATAGATTAGACTATAGACTTTACATACTTTACATAAAAAAATACTATGTATTTAAAATTTTCCATGCTTGCTATATATTATTTTCATTTCCTTTTCTATATTTTCTCTTGTATCTCTCGTTAGTTCCATATAGTAGTAGTAGATAGATAGTATAACGAAATCAAAACAAACTTTACTAAAAACAAATCATAAGGATTTCTGTATTATGGACTTTCATTTTAAACTTTTTTCTTGTTATTGTTTTCCTTACGGCACTGCATTGTACATTGTGTGAGTATTTGTTGTTTTTATAAGGGTGTGTAGGTTGTTGTCATTTCGTTCCTTTATTGTGCTAGTGAATAAAAAATAAAACAAGAACAACAATGAAAATAAAAGAAAAACAAAAGTTGTTGCTTTTCCTGTATATGTGTACCACACAGAAAATTCTACACTGGCAGACTCAGTGTCGAGGCCTACACACATAGTTTTATAGACAAATGGCAAATTATTAGGGAAAAATCGTTACAGTAACATAAATAAACGAGAACATGACAGTTCTTTAGAAATAAAAAAAGGAACAATTGTGTGAAATTACCAATAAATAAACAATAACATAATAAGAAAAAGAAAATCAGTGTTTTTAAAGTTAAAAACCATTACTAAAGAACAAAATCGTAGTATTATTTAAAGAATTTTCCGAAAATTAATTTGTGCAAAAGTTTACAACAATGATGAACTATAAAACTAGGGTAAATATTGTTAATTATTAAATTTAATCTTTAACCTTTAAACACAGTAAGAAATTTAGTATTTTTTTTAAAGGAATAATAATAATTTTAAAAATATTAAAATTTATTTAAAAATTTTTAAATATTTAAGTTAATTTTGTTAAATTTGTTTTGTAAATAAAGTATAGTTCAAAAAATTTTTAAAAACCATATTGTTGTTTAACAGAAAATCTTCAAATTTTATTCAGCTGTAAAAATTTCATAATTCAGCTAAGCTAAATTACCTTTAAAGCTTTTAAATTACATGAAAAATCTTGAAAAAAATAATTTTCATTTAGATATGTGCAATTCAGCTAAGAAAATATAGTATATTTTTAAAAGTTCTTAATTCAGCTAAGCTGAATTGGTTTTAAAGATCTTAAATACATAAAAAATATTGAAAAAATTAATTTTAATTTATAAATATGCAATTCAGCTAAGAAAATATAGTATATTTTTAAAATTTCTTAATTCAGCTAAGAAAATACAGCTATAGAAAATATATTTCCTAATTCAGCTAAGCTGAATTGGCTTTAAAGGTCTTAAATACATTAAAAAAAAAAATATTTTCATTTAGTAATGTGCAATTCAGCTAAAAGATATAGTATATTTTTAAAATATTTTATATTATAATCAGTTGAATTGTTAATAGTTAAATCTTCGGAAAATTTGTAAAAAAATCATGATTATAGAGAAATTTTATAATTCAGCTAAGAAAAAGTGATCTATTATTTTAAAAATTATTAATTCTGCTTAGCTGAATTCAGATCTTAATAACTAAGTATTTAAAATATGTTATTATATTGCATTTAATAGTCCGATTTTCTAATTCAGCTGAGAAAAAATAGTTTAATTTTGCAAAATGGGTAATTTAGTTTAGCTGAATTTGAAGCTAAATAGCTTAATATTCAAAATAAGTTATTCAATTGCATATTATGGCTAGATTTTCTAATTCAGCCAAGAATTTTTTATTTATTATTGTAAAATGGATAATTCAGCTTAGCTGAATTAGAAGCCAAAGAGCTTAATATTCAAAATAAGTTATTAAATTGCATATTACGACTTGTATTTTACTATTCAGCTATGAAAATTTTGTTAATTATAGCTAAATTTTAATTCAGCTTAGCTGAATTGGCATCTTAAGAGCTAAACAATGAAAATAAGTTATAAAATTGCTTACTATGGCTAGTATTTTACTATTCAGCTATGAAAATTTTTTTTTAATTATAGTAAGATTTTAATTCAGCTTAATTGAATTGGGAGCTTAAGAATTTAAATATTGAAAATAAGTTGTACAAATCGATTATGTAAAGAAATGTTTGAATTCAGCTAAGAAAAACTTTTAATGTGGCAAAATAACTAATTCAGCTAAGCTGAATTGAGTGCTTTATACTAAAATTAGCAGAAAACAAGGATTTTATAAAGAAAATTTACAATTCAGCTAAGAAAAATTTCCAAAATTACTAAATTCAAACTAATCTAAATAATTTCTTTTTAAATTACTATTTTCAGACATCCGGTGCCCCACCAGTACCACCACAACGTTACTCCTCTATGCGTGGTAGTGCTCCAGGCACACCACCCACTGGCATAACTGCAGCACCCACGTTTGGTGGTAATAGCAGCAGCAATAATGCCAATGCTGTTAGTCGTTTAGTCATTGATTTGGAAACAAAATACGGTAAACATTTTCACAATGTTACCGAATTTCCCAAGCCACCACCATTTGTAAATATTCAAAAAGTGTATCCTAGTCGAACTGTCAAAACAGCAAATGGTATGTAAATAAACAAAGAAAACAAAAACAACATACAAACAATATGCTACTCCTCTAGCCACTAAATGAAATGAGGAATTATTTATCAAGGAATGCTGTTCATTTTCTTTTTAAAAATATTATTATTATTATTATTTTTTCTTAAAAATTAAGTTAAACTTTAGTTTTAAACAAATATTGTTTGTTTTTATTATTTGCAACAAAGAAAACAAAAATATTTTCTTTTCTAGCAAATCGTTACTGCACGTGAATTATACTTTTATTGCAAACAAAAACTGATGTCTTTTTTTAAATAATAACAAAAAACGATGTATTATTTTCATTATTATTATCATTTCTTTTGTATTATTAAATAAAATAAATCTGTAATATTTTGTAAATGAAGTTCTTTTTTATTATTTTTATTATATTTTAATGTTATCTAATCATTTAATATTATTATTAAATTAAATTTTTTTAATTATTATCGAAGCAACAAATTTTAAGCAAAATATTTTTACTTGTCGTTAATTAAGCAAGAAAATTTGAAGTTTTTATTTAGAAAATTATGAATTATAAAGAATAGCTTTATTGAAATTTTGTTTTTTTTAGGTTTTTATAAAAAACTATTATTTGTTTAAACTAATGTCATTTTGTTATAAAAAAAGAAGAAAAACCTCAACATTAAGTAGTTTTAACACCTTAAAGTATGCTGCATAAAAACAAATAAAAAAAAAAAACACATACACCTACATACACTTACACTCACACCTCTACTTTTAGCATGCTTATTATTATTTTTTAATTATTACTTTTAATGTACATTATTGTTTTTAAAATAATAATTATAATTAAAAAAAATGTTTTAATTATTTTATATACATAAATAAATACATATTTAATAAAACATTTATACACATTTTATTTGATTCTTCTACTTCTATTTTGTATGCGCATTAAAAAAAAATCAACAATAAAATCTTTAATAAACAAATTTATCCACATTTTTAATCATTTTCAAAAAATAAAACAAATAAAACTGTTATATTTTTGTTTCACTTTTTATTTATTTATATTTTTTTTTTTGTTGTATATGATTGCATTTTGTTTTGATTTTTTTTTTTATAAAAAATATTCGACTATTCAAATCAAATTACAGAGCCGTCAATAGACTAGGCAATAGATTATATTAAACTCCATATTGCTGACTGGATTGTCGACAAAAGACTAGACAGCATTCCAGACTATAGACTATATAAGAGTCCATACTATAAACTAGAGAATAAACTAGACTATAGGCTACGCACTAGTCCAGATTTTAGACCACATAATAGAATAGACAATAGTCCAAACTACATACTAGACTATAGACTGCATCATAAACTAGTGTATGAACTATGATATAAAATAGTCTATAGAATATATACTAGACAATAGTCCAGACTATAGACTAGACAGTAGATCAGACTTAAGAACAGACTATAGACTATAAAAACACTGGACAATAGATTAGACAATAGTCCAAACTATAGACTAGAACATAAACTAGTCTAAACTATAAACTAAACAATAGTACAGACTAAAGTATAAACTAGACTATAGACAAAAACCCAGATTAGCAATAAGCAAAACCTATAAACTAGAGAATAACCTAGATTATAGACCAGGCTATAGAATAGACAGTAGTCTATAGACCATAGGCTAGACTAGAGTATAAACTAGGCAATAGACAAGACAATAGTCCAGACTAGAGTATAAATTGGGCAATAGACTGTATGACTTACTATAGAAGAGACAATAGTGCAGATTATAGAAAAGATAAGAGTCCAGCCTAGTCCTACAGAACTAGAACATAAACTATTAACTAGACAATAGTCCAGACTATATAATGAACTAGACTATATAATAGAGAATAAACTAAACTAGACTGTAGAATAGACAATAGTCCAGGCTATAAGCAAGACTATAGATAATATAAACTTTACTATAGACCAGATTTGAGAACAGACAATAGTTCATATGTTAGACTAGATTTTCGACAAGACAATCAAGGCTAGACTATAAACTAATCAGAAGGCCATACTATAAAATAGACTATAGACCAAAAATATAAATTAGACTATGGATCGAACTATAAACTAGACTATAGACCAAACTATAGACTAGACTATAGTCCAGACTTTATATTGTAAATTAAACTGTATACCAGAGACTAGTCTATTGGTTAGACAACAATCCAGACTATAGATTAGAGTATAAACTAGGGACAAATTCTGGCATTCGATATCGATCGAAACCTCAATAGAATTTTAAAAAATTTTATTAGAAATTTCGTTCGCTTTCGACTATAGACTTGACTATAGTATACACTTTAGGCTAGACTATAAACTCGACTATAAGCTAGACCAGGCTATAAACTATAATGTATAACAGAGATATAGGGCAGAATAGAAACTGGACAATAGTCCAGAGTATAGACTAGACAAAAGTCCAGACTATAGACTACACTACACTTAGCTGAGATTAAAGGCTAAACTATTTTCCAGGCTATGGACTTATAGATGAACTACAAACCACTTTTTAGCTTAGACTACAGTCCAGATACTATAGACCATACTACAGACTTTGGACTTTAGTCCAGACTATAGAAAAAACAAGAATATAAACTATACTTACTATAGTGCAGACTATAAACTAGAATGTAGTCTATTGATTACACTATATGTAGTCTAGAGTACAGACTATATCACTGACAAACTATAAACATCCTTTGTAAAAACAAACAACAAAATTAACATTTTCTAAACTCATTCCTAATTCTACAACCAACAATCATTCAAACATAAATAAATATTTGTTCCAGTTACCACAGCTAGCAGTAATAACAATAACAACAATAATAATAACATTACTACAACTGATAATAACAATTTAAATACAAATACTACAACAGCAACTGCAAATGTCACCACAACAACAACTACGACGACACCAAAACCACTACAACCCGCCGGTTATCAACCATTTATAAAAAAACATAGAGCACCAGCTCCACCGCCACCACAAGCAGGTGTAGCTGCTGCCACGGTCTCGGTAATACGTCAATCTAGTTTCCTTTATGGAGCCGCTGGTATAGGTCACCAGCATACACAATAATTAGTTAATATAAAAAACAATTGTAATTGTTAAAAGAAAACACTAAACTATAAATCATAGATGAATATTTAATTAATAGCATTGCAAAATATCCTTTAAATGTTGTGTTGTAATTTTTGTATTATCATGTAAAGGAAGAAACACTTTTTTCAAAATAATTGTTAAATTAAAAAAAAGACTTTAATCCTTGTCTCTATTAACGTATGTATAAATACAAGTACAGTAAAAATAATTTAAACATCAATGCCTTTATTAACATATAGTTGTGTATTTTATAAATATATTTAATAAATAAATACTTATAATCGTAATAACTAATATTAACTAATTATAATTAAAATAATTAATATTCTTTTTGGTTTCTTACCTTTAAATTTTAACACAAAAAGGTTTTTAACAAAATTATTTCACTTAACTGTTAACTTAACTGTTTTATTTTTTTTGTGAAGTAGAAAATGAGGAAATAATTAGAGTGGCCATATTTATTTTGTTGTTTTAACACAGAGTTGCCGTTGCCAGCTTCGCAAAAAGCGGACAAAATAATCTCATATGGAAATTTTGTAGAATAAATTTGTAATTATCGATAATTTTTTTAAGAAATTTAATTTAATTGTAATTATCGACAAATTTATAATAATCGACCAATTTTGTTTTAAAATTTTTAATTATTGGTAAATTTTCTATGAAATTTATAGTTACAAATAAATTTTTAATAGAAAATTTTATTTTTTTGTTTAATTTTCTAAAGAAAATTATAGTTATAGATAAATTTCCTATAGAAAATTATATATATCAATAAATTTCCAGTATAAAATTATAGTTATCGATAAATTTTCTATAAAAAATTACAGTAATCGATAAATTTTCTATAGAAAATTGTAGTTATCGATTAATTTTCTATAGAAAATTGTAGGAATCGATATGATTTCTATAGAAAATTATGGCAATCAATAAATTTTCTATAGAAAATTCAGTTATTGATAAAATATGTATCTATAGAAAATTATAGTTATTGATAAATTTTCTATAGAAAATTATAGTTATTGATAAATTTTCTGTAGAAAATTGTAGTTATCGATCAATTTTCTATAGAAAATTATAGTTATCGATAAATTTCTACAGAAAATTGTAGGAATCGATTTATTTTCTATAGAAAATTGTGGGAATCGATAAATTTTCTATAGAAAATTGTAGCAATCGATAAATTTTCTATAGAAAATTGTAGGAATCGATAAGATTTCTATAGAAAATTGTAGTAATCAATAAATTTTCTATAGAAAATTAAGTTATCGATAAAATTTCTATAGAAAATTATAGTTATTGATAAATTTTATATAGAAAATTATATTAAGCAATTTTCTATAGAAAATTATAGTTATCGATAAATTTTAAAAAATTTAATGCTATCGATAACTTTATTATAAAAATTAAAAATTTTCGGTAATTTCCTATGCAAATTTAAAGTAAAGTCGATAAATTTTTTATAGAAAGTCGATACATTTTTAAGAACAAATTGTGTTCAACGATAAATTTTCTAAAAAAAATAAATTTTCTTTCAAAATTTAAAAACTATCAATAAATCAATGACTGCAAAGGTGAAAACATTACATTTTCTTCATATATAAAAATCTTATTTTACTTTAAATAAAATTCACTTCATTTTGTTTTTAATTTCTATACAATATATAGTTTCAAAACCTATGACCCGACTGTAATCTTTTTTATATAGCACAAGTAGCAAATTAACAATAATAGCACAAACATACATTATTATTACAAATTAGTAAAATTAAAAAAAAAATCATTAAGGAAAAATAGTTTAATAATGTATAAGCAATAATTGTTCTATACAATAGCTGCTAATAACAACAAAAAAGTATAAAAATTCTATATAAAAGCAATATAAGTAACAAACCATATTAAATCAATTATTAACTCTATATACATTTTTATCAGTACTATTAGTTTAAACTGTAAAGTCCGAGATTAGTCCATCACTTAATTATCAAATAAATATTATATAATTAAATAAAATAAGCTAATTATGTTTCAAATATTACATTTTGGAATCCTTAATTTTGGAATTTTAACCTTAAAACATAACATTTTCTGTACCACTATCTCTAAACTTTAAAAATAGTTTATTGAATTTATCTACTTAAATATTAATCATTTAAAAAAACTGTTTTTTAAAAACTTTAAATTTGTTATTTTTGTTTGTTTCAATTGATTGGTGTTTATAGCAAATTAGTTTTTAAAAATGTATGTCTAAATATTTCTATTAGCGTCTACTTTTTAATAATTATTATAAAAGAAAATTTAATAAACTTATTGTGATAAGTATTATTAACTTTGTTTGTCTTCGATTGATTATATACTGTAACTAATTAATCTAATAAAATTAAAATTTTTATGAATTTACATTGGCAATAATAACATAATTTAACGAAATTATAAAAAAAAAAACTAAAGAAAATTTAAATATTTTATAAAAATTTTATTAAACAAAAGTCTACATAAAAAACTCATCATTAATCATAAAATGTTATACAAACTTATATTATGATATGATTTTTTGGAAATATATAAAGAAAAAATAAATATTAAAAGTTAACAAAAAAACTAAATTTTGAAGTTTTAATTAAATAAGAAATGTTACTAAATTATTGGGAAATATCGATAAATTATAGATATCGATAAATGATCTATAGACAATAAAATTTTCTATAGAAAATTATAGTTATCAATAAATAAAATAACTGAATAAATTTTCTAAAGAAAATTATATAAATCGATAAAATTTCTATAGAAAATTATATAAGCCGATAAATTTTCTGTGGAAATATATATGAAAATTATATAAATCGATAAATTTTTAATAGAAAAAATATATAAATCGATACATTTTTATAGTAAAATTATATAAATCGATAAAATTTTTATAGAAAAATTATATAAAACGATAAATTTTTTATAGAAAAATTATATAAAACGATAAATTTTTTTATAGAAAATTTTATAAATCGATAAATTTACTATAGAAAATTATATATGTAAATCGATAAATTTTGTATAAAGATTATATAAATCGATAAATTATCTATAGAAAATTATATAAATCGATAAAATTCCTGTAAAAGATATCGATACAATTTCCATAGAAAATTATAGTTATCGATTATTTTTAAATAGAAAATTAGAGTTACCAATTAATTTTCTATAAGAAATAATAGTTATTTTTTAATTTTCTGTATAATTTATAGTTATCGATATATTTTCTAAAGAAAATTTAAATTAACGTTAAATATTATAAACAACCAAAACAACCCCTAGTTTATTTTTTCATAAAGTGGCCACCCTGTTATCATTCACAGTGAATGTGTACATTCAAGAAGAAGAGGAAAACAAGTCATCTTTTCACTGACAAAGTAGATTTTTTTTGTTTATCAACAGCAATTTAATAAGTTAAAAATTTAATAAATTTACCAAAATGTTAAGTTCTATGGTAAAAGAACATCAGGCTAAACAAGTGAAACGTAAACAGGAACAAGGTTTGTTGAAAATAATGAAAAAAAAAATAAGATTGTTCTTTATTGTTGGCTAAACTATATTGCAGAAGTAAAACGCAAAGAGGCCATAGAAGCTTCCAATGAATTGACTAAAGCTCTAGTGGAACATTTAAATGTGGGGTATGTGTATATATCTACAAATGCTTATTCAAACTTAATATAACGTTGGTCATGGTCAAGTTTAGACTATAGTCTGGACCATAACCAACCATTAGTCTAAACTATAGACCGAACTATATTTTAGTCGAAACCATTGCACAGTCTTTCCTATTCCACTTGTTAATTAATTTATTATCATTTTTAGAGTCGCCCAGGCCTATTTAAATCAAAAACGTTTAGATGCCGAGGCAAAACAGCTGCATGTGGGAGCTACAAATTTTGCCAAACAAACACAACAGTGGCTGCAATTGATAGACAATTTTAGTAGTGCCTTAAAAGAACTGGGTGATGTAGAGAATTGGGCTAGAAGTATAGAGTCAGATATGCAAGTTATACAAAATACTTTGGAAATTGCCTATAAAACTAGTCGACAAACGCAACAGCAAGCACATCAGGGTGCAGGAGCAGCAGCTGCTGCAGGTGCTAGTACTTCCTCATCATGAGCAGTAGTTCAATAATTAAGTATTTACTAATATTTTTTTTTTAATTAATATAAATTCACAGTTTTCAAGTCTTTATTTTTTTTTTGTTGGTTTTGTTTGTCCATTTAAAGAAATTTAAATAAATACAAAATATTACAACTAGTTGTTTGTTGTTACATATAATTAAATAATTACACAAACATTATTATAATGTTAAGGTTTTTTTTTTAAAGAAACAATTATTTTGAGTTAGATTTTTTAGAAATTTACAAGTTTTTTGCAAAATAATTGTTTCTTGTTTAAATATGTTATAAATTATTACTAAAATAAAACTTGCACACAAGTACTTATATTTATATTAAAATTATGACAAAACTGAAGTTCAGAAATTAAGGTACAGAACAAAAAGTTTATGTGAAAAGATAAATTCACCTCTATGTATAAGACAACCACAAAACTAAACCAATTTATTACACAAACAAGCTGCGAAAAGCGATTAAAACTAAAGTAACATAAACATTAAAAAAATGAATTCAAGTAGAAGAAAAAACAAAAATTGGCTTATAAATTAGCCTAATATATTAATGGTATCGATAACGATAACGACCTGAAAAGATAAAAGTTAAAAGCAAACTTAAATCATGCAAAAGGTCGGAATTTAATTTAAACTTTAGGTCGAACCTAGTTTAAACTAGAAATAATTCAATTAAATCTAGATTAAAGTAGTTTACAAGGGGGCAGTGTTTCTTAACCAGTTTGTGTTTTATGTTAAACTAGGTTTAATTAATAACTGTACTTTATTATTTAATCTCTTTTATATATTGAAAGCAAAAAAAGATAGAATTTCTATTTGTTCTAATGTGTGAAGTGTATTGCTGCTATTTTTCATATTTACATTTTACTTACGTGGTGAATAGGAACGACTACGACTGCGTTCATAACGATGTCGATGACTATGATGAGATTTGCTACTATAACTAACAGGAGAATGATGACGTTGTTGTTGCTGTAGCTGCTGTTTTTGGGCACGATAACGTTCACGTAAATCTCTAGGATATCGGATAACATTTAGAAAATATCTGTTTTTATAAAACTAATAAAGAAAACTTACTTGGCTGGTCGACCCATATAAACACCAGGCGTTGGCGTGTGAGGCCTTTCGGTTATGGAGTAGGCTACACGTATGCGTCTGCCATCAATTTCCATGCCACAGCAATTATCACAGGCTGCTTTAGCATCAGCTAAATTTTCATAATAAATAAAACAAAAACCACGAGAACGACCGGTCTGTGAAGGAAAGTGAAAAAATTTGTGAAAAATTAAAATAGTCTAGTCTAGATCTAGTTTATAGTCTATTCTACATTCTAGTCTATTAAATTTTATTTCATTTCAATTTGAATTTGTAACAACAAGCCTTTGGTTTCGTTTAAAACACTTTTAAATCAAAACTCTATATATTGCTGTTTAAATTTTTTTATGACCCCTCTGTTTGACATTTTAATTTCTTTAAACTTTAAATTAAATGCATTTAGTAGGGTGTATTTATTTAAAAAAAGATGTAATTCTAACATAAATCATACCTGAGCATCAATAACAACTTGTATGCGTTCTATGGGGCCAAATTTGGAAAATATTTCTCTGATTTTAAGTTGTGTGGTATAGACACTTAAACCAAAGACACCGATACAGCGACAGGGTAAAGGTTTTTCCTGTTATAAAAGAAAAAAAGTTAAAAATTAAGTCCATGATATAATTTAACTAAATGTATTAAACTTACTCTATTGCTACGATTTGCTCTATCATACGAATTACGTGAACGGGAACGTGTTGGAGATTTTGTTCTTGAACGAGATCTACTATAATGACGACGACTGTTGTGATGTCTTTTTTTATAGGTGGGTGATATGGATCTGTTTAGTAGTAAGAGGGAATAAATAGTATTATAATTTTCTTAATTTATTTTATTTTTAAATGTTGAGTTATATGCAATTTTTGTTATCTGTAAATCTTGATTTCTGTTTTTATTTAAATTATTTAAGATATTTGTTAACGTTTTGAAATGTATTCAATTTGATAAATTGACTTTCGACTAGTATATTGTAATCTTGCTAAAATGTTTCTTAATAATAAATATAAACTTGTTAGTATTGAAAATTTTGACCAATTTGTGTTTTGTAATATTTTGAGACTTGAATTTCCTAAAAATATTTAAGTAAATATTAAATTTCAAACATAAAATAAATTAAACTCATGTTTAGAAAGATGTTGGTAAACTGAAGTACTTAAATTCTAGTCTATACTCTAGCCTGCAGTCTAGTCTATATTCTAGTTTATAATCAAGTCTTTATACTAAACTACAGTCTGGTATTCTGTCTAATCTATGGACAGTTTATAATCCATCCATCTAATCTTGTCCTTAGTCTAAACTATAGTCTAGTCTATATTCTACTCTGTAGTATATAATCTATAATCAAGTATATAGTCTATTCTATAGTCTAGTATATAGTCTAGTCTATAATATAGTCAATAATCTAGTCTATAATCTAGTCTAATTCATAGTCTAGTCTATTTTTAGCCTATAGTCTAATAGTTTGATATAACAAACACAAAAATTTTAATAATTTTCTTAAAAAAATTTCAAAATTAATAAAATTTTTTTTTTCAAAAACTTAAATTTATCTTCTCTCTAACCTCAAAGTAACTTCAATGAATTTTGAAACACCAACAACAACAAACTTACCTGGAAGTACTACGACTATCACTAGAATAGCGACCACTGTGTCGGCCAGTTGTTATAGGAGGTGGTGATGGTGGATGTCTAGAATTGGAACTACTGCGTGAATCATATTTATAGCGGCTATAGGATTTACTACAAAAAATGCATAACAAATAATGTAGAAAACTATTTGCCATCAGAGTTTAACTACAGCTAAACGACTTACCGGCGTCCAGAGCGTCTATAAGGGGAGCGGGAATACGAGCGACGTGGAGTAACAGAACGACTACGTGAACGTGGACTCTAGCAGGAGGAATAAAGTAAAAGGAATATTTAATTAAGGAAAATTCGAGGAAATTTGTTCAAAAGGCTAGTGAAAGCTTTAGTTTCTTTTAATATTTACCATTCTTTAGGCAGAAAAATAAGAATTATTGATAGCTCTTGTTTAATTAAGGTGTTTTCTTTATTTCTTTAAATTATTAATAAAGTTTTGTTAAGTTTAATAAATTTTGTTTGTTAAAAAGTGAAAAAAATTATCAAAACACTGTTGAAAAATGCAAAGCCGACTGTCTATAGTAAGGTTAATATAGCGTTTTTGAGTATTTATTAGCGGGTTTATAATGTTTAAATAATTCTAGCGATTTTTATTTGGTTTTTAGGTTATCGCTTAAATACCATTACTAAACAGATTACAATTGACACCGCTAACGACAAGCGACATGTTAAACAAAACAAATTCATCTGGAATGAAATTAATTAGAAAAATAACTTAAAATAATGTAAAATTATAAAAAATTAAGCAATTTATTAAAAATTAAAAAGCTGGAGAATTATTCGATATTATTCTGATAAAAATTAAATATTTAATTTACAAAAAAAAAAAACGATAAAATAAAAATACATAATTTAAATTTTTTTCAAAAAGTTAAAATTCTGCTAAAAATTTAAATTTTAACCAAAATCTAAAATTTTATTAAAAATTCAAAGTTTTACGATTTTCCATTAATACTTTTAATTTTAAAGAAATCTATGTTCGCAGCAAAAACACGGTAATGGTTTGTACTTCTATAACTACTATTTATCTTCTGCATTACTTAGAAGTACTCTGGTAATGACTTTCTAATAATTTGATATCGAGGTATGTACTTCTTTAACTACATATTTGTAAGCGAGCGTGGAAGTACTTGCCTTCAATGACATCACCGTGTTAAAATAATAACTTAAAATGCAAATGAAGTAGTGAAAGGAGGTAGGTTTTATTAGCTTTTTAACTCATTACTTTTCAATGTAATTTTTTCCTGGGTTCTTTTCAAAATCCTATTTTTCCCTTAAAATTTCACAAATATAAACCATTTTTTTTTTTTAATTTTACATTAAATTTTATTAAATCTTACTTAAAAAAATCTTAAAAGAACATGTAAAAGTACAACATTTTCAAATAAATACCAAAATTTACTTTTGTTTTGTTTCCTGGTCAGTAACATAACGCACATAGATTACCGGATTGGGTACACTAGCTGGCGGTACATCCAACTCATCATTATAAGAACAGGCAATGGCTAAAGTACTGCCATCATGACTGAAATTAAGTGATGAAATCGATGTGTCGTATTCATGAAATTGACACAAACGCTTCTTATTAAAACCATCCCAGATATTGACATAACCATCAGAACCACCGGTGGCAAACGTGTTGTAAACATTATGAAAACTAATGGCATTAACGGGATAAATATGTTCTACGGTGTCTTGTTTATTGCGATGGCACTTAAAGGCGAATTTACGCTTTTGTACCTCTGGATCGGGATCTAAATATTCAACTGCTACACGGCCCTCGATGGATGACATAACATAGCCTTCTTTATTGGGGAACAGGCGTATACAGCGTGTTTGATATTTTAAAGAGGATTCTCGTTTCATCATGTATTCTTCCATTTTACGTAAATCCCATATTAAGACCTTACGATCAGAGGTGGCCACCACAATTTTCTCATCATTCACCGACATAGAATAGACTTTACCATTGCCCTGCTCATAGGTGCCGACACAGCGTTTCTCGCGCATATCCCATAGTTTAACAGTTTTATCCCAACTGCCGGTCAAAATGCCATTCACTGATTCAGCATGTTCTACACAACGTATAGGTTCGTCATGGGAACCCACTATATTTTCTGTATGGGTATTAACGTCATATAAACGCAAGTGATTATCCAAAGAGCCACTTACCACATGGACCACATCCTGCAAACAAACACAATTTTCTAATAAATTCAAATACATTTAAGCTTTCCATGATCATACCATAAATGTTACATCCAATAGCGGCGCTCCCTGTACAAATTTCTGCCTTACCGCATTGTTGACTACATCATAGAAACGCACGGTGCCATCCCAAGATGAGGCTATTAGATATTGATTGGATTTGGGACCAAATCTAACTGTAGATATTAAATCCTCGGGAGCATTATTAAGTTTAACCTCTGTTGGTCTCATTTTCGTCATTTAAATTTGTGTTTTTCTTAATTTTATTCTTTGTTTCTTTGGCAGCTTTCAAACAATATTTGCGCTTTTTTCAATTACTTTGTAAAGTAATTTTTATTAATTCTCTTATTTTCTTAATTTTCGTAATCAAAATTCGTGCAAAAGTTGCCGTATTTGCAAACAGATGTCGGTTTGGCAAATCTTATTCACAGGGATATGATAACAAACGTTATTTTAAAATTACACAGAGAGTTGCCACTATTATTAAGTTTATTAAGATATTTTTGATGTTTTAATAAGTTTTACAATTTTATTAAAAATTCGAATTTTTTTATACATAAACTATAAAAATAAACAAAATAATATTAAATGACAAACATTTGTCAATAACTATTTATAATTTTTGTAACAAAATAAAGATTTTATTTTTAAAAATAGTTTTTTAAATTGATATTTATTATAAAACAGAGAAAAGCCTTAAGAAATGGTCCAAAGAAGACATTTTTCTATAGAAGTCAATTTTTTATAGAACAATTTATAACAATTTATAAGCAAACATTTTTCTATAGAGCACTAACTAAACTTTTATATAGAAAACTACCTAAACAAGACATTTTTCTATAGAAAACTATCTAAAATCATTGTATAAAAAATTGTTCTGTAGAAAACTTGCTGAAGAAAATACCATTCAATAGAAAACTAATGCACACTCTTTTATAAAGAAAATACATTAAGAAAAACTTATTATTTTGTAACAAAATGAAATCTTTAAGTTAAAAAATGGTTTTATACATTAAAAATGCATTTTTTTTTTTCTAATAAAAACTCTCAAAATTTCGTAAACATCTGATATTTAAACAAAAAACCAAGCAAATACCAAAATATTTTCTTCTCCTTTTTTTTTTTTTTTTTGCAAATTTTACGTTTTTCCTTCAATCTGGCCACATTATTTTCATTTGTTTATGTTTTTTATAACAACCCTGTGGCCATATTTACACTCTTTTGCTCTCATTTTCTTTGTTTACATTTTGCTCTGTGCACGTGTTGTTGCACTACTGTCAAAATATTTATATTATTTTCAAGACAATCGCTGAAAAATGTGGACGCACGTGTGAAATTTGTAAAAAATATAAAATTTAATAAAATAATTAAAGAAAATATATTATAAATAAAAAAGTGTTAAGAAATTTTATAAAACTATGGCGGAGCAACAACAAAAAACTAAAAATTCAAACACCTTTCGGGTAATTAAAGAAAAGTGGAACCAAAATTTTTTTGGTCTTAAAAAAATGTTTAAAAATATAAAATAAATATAAAAAATCCTGTTTTATATTAATATTTATGATTTTATTTTATAAATTTCAGTTCAAAAGTTTTGCTGATCGTGTTAATGAAATCGATCTAAGACGTTTGGCTTTATACCATATAGGCCATGAAAACGAGGAGCTGCCAGAGGAAGAAAATGAAACATTTTTCCATCAGACTTTAAAAAAATGGATGGTTTTAAATTTATCCGAGGAATATTCTTTATTTTCCCGTAAAGTCATCAAGGTTGTGACATTGCCTCAGCTTTTACATCAAAAAGATTTTGTGGTGGACTTGCTATTGGAGAAGTTGGCCTGTGCTACTAATCTATCATTACAACCGCTGCTGGAGCTGTTGTATGTTTTGGCCAGAGATCTAAGAGAAGAATTTTATCCTTATTTTCAAAGGGTATTGGATCGTTTGATATGTTTGCTGAATACCCAAGATGCTGAGCAATTGGAATGGACTTTAGTGTGTTTGGCTTATTTGTTTAAGGCTCTTAAGCCTTATTTGAAAAGGAATATAGGGGTGGTGTTCAATTGCATTCTACCTTTATTAGATGAAAGACGTTATGAGGAACATGTTACCAATTTTGCGGTAGAATGTTTTTCTTTTATTGCTCGAGATGTGCGGGATTATGGCAAATTTTTGGAATTTATATTGGAGACCATAGTACGCGAACAGGTGGAAAGTGTTCAGGGTTGTGGTCGTTTGCTGTTTGAGATAATGCGCGGTGTTAAAGGACAATTCCATTCTATAGCGGGTGATTTTTTGCAGTTTATCTTTGAATCTTTGGTGGAGGATAAGAAAATTAAACCTAAACAAAGCCAGCTATTGAATGATATAGTGGAATACTGTATTAGCCAGGTGCTCAAGTTCATACAACCCCAACAAATGTCTTTGTTTTGGCTGAAATTGTGTGAAGTTTCTAAAAATTGTTTGAATCCCGCTAAACTACAAAATCTTTGTCGTATATTCCTGCAAGTGGTGGAGTATAAAGAATGTCGCTTTTTAGCCGAAATGGATGTTATAGTTCCCTGTCTTTTACATCTAGTGGATGTAACGGGGAAACATATTACAGAATGCTTTGAAGCTTTAAGAACTTGTACCCAGGTCATCAGCTGCATTTTGTTATCGGGTTCTTCTTTGGTCACCCAATTGGATACCAGCCGTTTGTTGAAGAAATCATTAAGCATTAAGGAACGTGAAATCTATGCTGCCTTTGTTAAACAAATGACTTTACATGTGCAATTTGAAATTTTTATTTTACCTAGTTTAGTGCAGCATTTTGAGGAGTTTTATGATAAGCCGGCTTTTGAACTATTAGCAGAGGTGCTTTTAAAGAGACAGCCTTTACAGTTTAATGCTTTAAGTGCACAAAAATGGCAGCCTTTAGATATTAAAGTTAAATCTGCCGAGACTTTAAAAAAACTAGAGCAAAACTTGAAGAAATTTAAAGTAAATGACCAACAAATGGAAGAGCAATTATTAATGTTGCTTATAGCTCCTCATTTGAAGGGTTTGCAGCAGGAGTTATTAAAAAAACCTTTAAACTCCTTAATACAAACATTATTAAAGGAGCTAGAGAACAATGCTGCAGAAAATCAACTCAATCTATTGTGTTTAATCATAACCATATATCTACAATTGAAATTTGCCTTAAACCCTCAAACGGTTAATACTTTAACACCTGTTTTAATACAAAACTGTAACAATTTAAGATGTTTGGGTGTATTAAATCTTTTAATCTTTAACTATCCTCAATTGTTTAAGGAATTACCAGAATTACGCTTAACTTTGGCTCAGTTTTTGGCACACCATGACCATGAAAAACGTTTGCTAGCTGCTCACACATTATCCTTAATATTTAAGGCCCAAGAACAACAGACACCTTATCATATTTTCTATCAGGCCGAGTTAATAGAACCTACAGTGCATAACTATAGAGAGCAAGTGTTATTGGTGCAAAAATTGGAGACCCAAGCTGAGTTATTTAAACAATTTAAAGAGGATTTCTATAAAGAAGATTGTGTACGTTTTCTTTTGGGTTTGTTGTATCACAATTTCAAATATGTTTGGGAGCCGGTTTTGAAACTTTTGGAAGATTATGCTAAACAATTGGATGTTTCGAAATTTTGGTTGATTTATCAGGAAAAACTGCAAACAACACAAGATAATATAGATTATCAAAACAGCAAAAATAATCAAGATTTAGTTGTTACTCAAACTTGGCAGTCCCCGGCCTTAAATGATTTATTGTGTTTACATCACCAGCCAACGTTAAGCCAACAACAGTTGTTTAACTATAGAAATTTACTATGGCAAAGATTGCCTCAATTTGGCAAATTAGTGGAATTGAAAAATCGTGAACTGGTGACCATGTTTATGAAATTTGTGGAAGAAGAATACCAGCTGCAATTGGAGAGCAAAGAAAACTCTTGGGATTTATCAGTAAAAAGCCAAAACTCTTTGGATATAGAAGACATAGAGGAAGATAATGAGCAGGAATTACAACAGCAGCCCGCCCAGACAACCAGCTTTAAAAAGAAATCGAAATATCTTAACAAACTAGACTCCTCTAACATCAAATCCATTTTACAAACTTTACAAACCAAATTGGCCGTCTTCGCAGCACATCAAAATCCTCGTGCCTTATACCGGGAAGCAGAACTTAAAACCCTCTATCTACGCTTGCTAAAAGGCTCTAATCAACAGCTGCAAAAGTCCGCTTTAGATTGTTTATTTTCTTATAAATCTAAAGCTTTAATACCCTATAAGGACTTACTTTACAATATGTTGGATGAAAAGAAATTTAAAGATGAACTGATAAACTTTAAAGTGGATACTGTTTCCCTGGAACATAGACAAGAATTTATGGAAATTCTCTTAAGATTACTCTATGGCAAAATGATTACTAAAGGTTCCCAAAAGGGTTTAAGTCCTCAGCAAAGGAAATCTATAATATTAAGATTTTTGGCACAATGTAGCCTTGAGGAGATAGAATGGTTTTTACAAATGGCTTTTGGTTTGTATGGAGAATTTTGCCAGGATTCTACAGATATTCTGGCAATACCTTCCCTCGTACAAAAACAATTTAATATGCAACAGGTGTGGTCTCCCAAGAAACTGCAAAGTGTGGTTAATTTACTGGAATTGATACGCAAAGAATTTGGTGGCATAATGCAGCAAAAGTTCCATTATTATATGCTCAAACTATTGGTTTTTATAGGCTGTGTATGCAATGAAGTGTTTTCCTTGGATTCATCATTAATTCATCCCAAAATGCCTTTGGTTTTTAGAAATTTAAAACACAATTGTTTACAAAGTGTTTATAACTTTTTTGAGCATATCGAGGACTTTGAATGGTCTGAGGATTTGATTAAATGCTTAAGTGAGGTTTTCATTTATCCCTCGCTGGAGAAACTGCCAGTGGAAAGTATACACTCACCTACTGTTTTGCTAAAACTTTTGCTGTTATGGGGTGAAAAACCTAAACATTTCAAGTTCCTAAATCAAAATCCTCCCCACAAACAAGAGAACATTTTCCATTTTATTATATCACTGCTGTTAAATGAAAAATCTAAGGCTTTAGTGCGTAAACCCATAATGGCTTTGGTGGAACGTTTGCTAGTGGCCTCGGAAAATGAATTAGAATTCGCTGATGAAGGACTACAACTGGTTAAGCCTTATATTCCAGAGCTATTGCAGCGTTTGAAAATGAATTTCTCTACCAAAGGTTCAAAACAACAATTGGATAAACGTGATTTAAATGTTTTGTCCCTGTTGACTAAACATGTTACGGAACCTGAAACCTGTGACAGTCTCTTGC